TGTGTGTCAGTATGTAAAAATGTTACCGATTCTCTCATGTTAAAATTTCATGTCAAATTTTTAGAATTTGGGTTCTTTTCTTTGTGCATAAAATTGGAAAATTTGAGTTAGTCATTGAGGAAAATTTGATCTTTTTCTCTCATTCAGAAACATTGAACATGAGAATATCCACTTTGTCAGAGTTATGAACTCACAATAATAGCTCCCATTGGATCAATCCACCAAGAGTACTTCACAGCAAGCACAGCAGCAACTAATCCAACTGAGTTAGTGATAACATCAAAAAAATGATCTTGTGCATAGGCTCTGACAATTTCGTTCTTAAACCTTCGACAGTAGATCATGAGTACGAACTTCACTACAGTAACAGATGCCATAATACCGATCATCCATTTCAACTCTTGGGAATCCATTTCAGGCTTAGACTGTAAGATAAAGAATGAAGCAAGAAATTAAAAATTGATGAACTGATAACAAAATTTATGAAGCAGAATACTCAACTTTGCTACACTTAACACATCACATGAAAGACTAGAATCCAAAAAGTTTTCCTTATTCATCTGTTTCTTACTTTGTCCATTCCTACAATCACTTTATACTAACTCATTGGCTTGCTTCTAAGTTGTGTGGTCTGCATGAAATGTTGAAGGAGTGCAACCATAAAACCACAATTTTGAAAGAAAAAGTGAAGTTATGATTTCAAGTACCTTCGTAATGATTTGTCTGCCAGACTCAATCAGAATCTGCAATCCCAAGGTTGCCATCACAGATGCAAAAACAATGATACCCTGCACAAATACATAACCTTAATAAAAACGAATGTCTTCCAACAATGCAATGATTCTGAAGACACTCATCCAATTGTTGTCATTCATTCTCATGATCTATTCTAGACTAAATTTGAAGACTTGTGAGTGTTGTTTTTCTTGACCTTTTTGATTTTTATTCATGGTGGGACTTTGAACTTATACTTAGATTCCGAAGAACTTACCACCGGTTGCATCCTTTTCTTTCCAATGGGGTAGTGATACTGGTTTGGATTTCTCATGGCATAGGCAGTGAACCACAATATGAAGCCAGACAAGAGATCTAAGAGAGAATCCATGGTGGAAGCAATGACTGCTAATGATTTGCTCTGAATGGAAGTGTAAACCTTTGCTGCAAATAGCACCAAGTTAGCAGCATTCGACACATTCACTGCCAGTCTCTCACTTCTTGCTAATTGCTTCATTTCATCCTGATAAAAACAAAAAATAACCAATTTTTAAATTACCCTTTGAAATTTAAAGGAACAGTAACATTTTATCATGTCACAAAATGAGAAATTGTAAAAAACTATGATGCATGTAGTATACACATATGATAAGTGAATGGTGTTCAGAGAATAATCAACCTCAGTGAGACTTCCAGGGAAATAACCCGTTTCAGTCATCGAATCCATGTCATTATACCCTTCAAGGAGCTTCTCCTGTTTCTTGTAGTATTCTGCAACCTTGCGTTCCTTTTCTGAAACAAAAGCTAACTATAATATTACTTGGAAGCAAACCACCTCAGAAATAAAGTTGAATTATAGACTGCTGACAAACTGAGAATCTAACTATAAGTTCTACATTGAATAAAAAAAAATTAATATCATATAAAAGTATATAAAGATATCATAAATTAGATTGGAAGTAACGTGAATTTCTTACGTAGATTGAACACATATCTCATTATTTGTCTTTTTAATAAACCTCTTTTCATAAACGCATGATCATCATGTTACAATTTACCTTCTAGAGTCTAATATTACACTTCTCTCTTTTACCATTCTTTGTTTGCGTAGTGAATTTGATTAAGTAAATTACTTCAAGAAGGTTTTGTTCCAATAAATTAAATAATTTAACATTTCTAATTAAAGAATTGAAATAAAAATTAATTTAAATATATTTTTCTTTGACAAGTTAATACCCAACATAATCAAAATTTGTTAACAATACATAACCGTTACTATTAAGTATTTTAACAAATTCAGAGGGTTTTTTGTCCTCTTTAAGACCAGTGATTTTTGTTTCTTCTTCTTCTTAACATTTTAAGTAGAGCTGTTAAAATGGATCACAACCCGCGGGTCAACCTGGTCCACCACGGGTTTGAGCCAGGTTGGGTTTAAAAAAATTGTATTTTTTTTAGTGGGTCAGATTTAAACCCGGCTCATTTAAACCCGGCTCATGCAGGTTGAACCCATGGTGGACCGGGTTGGCCCACCAAACCTACATACCTAATTTTATTTTATTTTATAAAAAAATATTTATTATTTTGTTTTTGTTTGAAAAAATTATTTAAGTTCTTTATTTTCAAAATTAATTAAACATCCATGTTGGGAGTGAAATTTGTTTAGATTTGAATTATAGAAAGTTTGTAATTTTTTTTATTTAAAAAAAATTGTAATTAAGTGACCCAGTGAGCCAACCCGTTTATCCACCAACCTGTGGTGGGTCGGGTCAGGTTCAAATTTTTTTGACTTGCTAATAAATGAGCAGGATTGGATTGGTTCACTAAGTGACCAACCCGTAGTGGACCGGATCGGATCGGGCCGGGTGACCCGTTTTGACAGCTATAATTTTAAGGATTCTTTTATCCTACTACGGGTCATGTCATGTTTTGGAAGACTAAAAGCAAAAATATTATATTTCGTAAGGACTATAAAGAAAACAGCAGAAAGTTTTAGTGCTTAAAACGTGTTTTTTTTTTCAAACTGCTGGCTAAGGGTTACAACAAAAATAGGGCTATTATTTTCTGCACCTGAGATTTACTAACAGCACCCCTACAATAACGAGGAAAATACTCAAATACCCTATACAGAGGAAAAGAAAGCGAAAATGCGAAAAGGTTCTTGTTCCGATAAGCGTTTTTTTTTTCAGAATGTATTTCATGGTGTTCCGAAAACCTCGTTTCTAGAAGGTATTATATGTGTTATAAAAATTTATTCAGAAAAACTTATTCCAAACAAACATTTCATATATTCTGGAAATTTTAATTTAGAAATTTTATTCTAAAAAATTTATTTCAAAAATTCTATTCCAGAAATCTAGTTTCGGAAATTTTATTCTGTAAATTCCGGAAAGATTTCAAAACATGTAATCTGAAATTCACTTTTACGGAGCATAAAATGCTCATTTTGAAAATTTGAGGGGATACACGGAGAAATTGAAAGAATGCTGGAATAAAAGTTCAAAAATAGGTGGTGGAAAACAATGAAAAAAAGATCACAAGCCCAAATAATGGTATTTTTAAAATTAACTAGAAAAAATTAAGATTTTTTATATAATTAACATACTAGAGATTGTATGTTGATGTTTCTTTCTTACTTAGTAGCTCTCATTCAGATGTTATTATTTTAATATTTATTTTCACATGGTTCAAAATAAATGTTTTTTTAAGAAACTGTTGGTTCAAATAAAACTAAATTCAGATTTTTAAAATAAAAGTTTTGGATTTCAATCTTTTAATGAAGGTAAAACCATGGTTAAAAGAAAATAAAAATGTATTAGATTTGATAAGTAAAGTTCTACCAAAAATCTAATTATGACAAAAATAGTTAAATATTTTTTCATAACTAGGCTTTGAGAAACTTGGTACGCCAGGAGGAAACACTTGTCTCTATATGTTATTAGTATAAATTTTTATATTATAAAAATAAATTTTATATTTAACATAACCTCATAAAATTAATTTATAAAATAAGATTTATACTTATTAAAAACATATATTATAATTTAATTATATTTTTAATTAATATTTTTTAACTCACGTGAAATCTCTAACAAAACAAATTAAAATGCAGAGAAAGATGCCTAGTATATCCTACTCCGTATATAGGAATCACTTTATACTATCTTTTCAAAAAAGAGAAACTAATACTTCACCAAAATAATCATAAAAGCAATAAAAGAATATAATAAAAAGAAAAATTTTACTTATATATGCCAAGATTCCTCCCTCACTACAAACAATAAAACACGTAATTAAACAAAATTAAATCAACCCATTACTCCAAAAACAAAAGATGATGAGATGGAAAAAATAAATAAAATTTTCATATATATTTTAGAAAAAAATTGTGATCAACACACTTCTCATCATATTGCTATTTTTTATTTTTATTTTTTGTTTTAAATGTGCGTGGATGAGAAAAATAGATGTTAAATATTTCAGTTACTTAATTTATAATTGTATCAAAACAAAAAAAAATAATGACTGTAACCAATATTTTGTGATTAGTTAGGATACATAATCTAATTAGACAGATTCTCCTAGACTTTTTGGTGTTTTAAAACATTAAAAATATATTGATATTAATATATTAAAATAAATTTAATATAATTTAAAACATAAAGTTAGTATTCGTCAATGCATTTTGAGATAAAACAGAATAGTAATTCAGCAAATCTAGTAAAGGAATCCAATCCATGACGTACTTGATCTATATCAACAGGGACAAACTTTATAAAGTACACATTTAATACTGATATAAAACTAAATTTTTATAAATATAATCTAACTCTAAAATACTAATATCTTAAATAACGCATATTTTTTTAAAAGAAATAAGGGGATGGTGTATAGTATTATTTATATGATATACACACAAGTAGACAATATGGTTGATTTTTTTATTGTCAATTAATTAGTTTTTCAAAATATACGCTTATTTTAATAAACTTTTATTGAAATTAACTTATATATCTCAATTACTTAAAAGATAAAAGGTTAATTATGTTTTTAGTCCCTAAACTATTGATCATTTCTGGTTTTCGTCCCTCTTTCAAAGTAAGGTACAATTTGGTCCTCATTTTTTTCGAAACGTTCGTTTTAGTCCTTGAAATTTTGGTTTTAGTCCTCATTTGTTGCTAAATGAGGACCAAATTTTTAAACAAATGGCGTACCTTTTTCAAAACAAGTATTTAAACTTTATTATTTTTCTAATTTGTTACAAATACATTAGTATCTCAGGATAATTTTAATTATTAAATTTGAATAAAATTTATGATTTTACACGTTT